CCCCCCTCCCCCATAAAATAACATGGCTACGCGGCTACTCGGCCACGGGGCTATAGGGGGCTACGGGCTACACACGACCACGGGGCCACGGGGCTACCTTCGGGGCTACCTTCGGGGCCACGGGGCTAGGCTACGGCGCTATGTAGCCACAGGGCTAGCACTACGCGGCCACGGGCCACGGGCCTACGCACGGGACTGGCCACGGCGCAACTGGGCTACCTACAGGGTCACGGTGCTACGGGGCTAGCGCTACGCCGGCCACAGGGCCACGGGACTACGGTGCTACGGGTCCACGGGGCTGCGTGGCCACGGGGCCACCGGGCTGCGGGGCCACGGGGCCGGCTACGGGGCTACACATTTTAGGACTGGTTTAGTGTCTTCCAAAACTTCGATTATGCGACATAAGCAATTCGTTAATTCTAAGTTGAAGGAGGTTTGGAAAGATTCCCATATTTGGCCATCACGTCATTTTGTGAGCAATTAAACCGTATGAGAAAGTTCTGAAAATGTTTAAGTGTTTTCTCAGTATATACCTCAATATTTTCCCTGCTAAATTTGACTTTGTAGGACCTATTTAATATCACTTTCTGATGGCTGATAGATCACTGAAAGGACAATTAAATGATGGCTAGATATGACAATTTTTCTAAAGGTTTTTGCAATGAAACAAAAGCTGCGTAAGAATTTGTAAAAAAAATGGAAAAGGTCACTAAATAAGGCCAATCAACAATGATTTTTCAGTTTTCATCACTCCAGATTGAAAAAAATATTGGTCGTGCGCGGAGATTTGGTGAGAAACTTGTCTTGAAAACACATTTTTGGGAGGGAAAAAACACTCTTTGTTTTCACTTAGAAACAATACAAAATACAAAAAAAAATCGAGGTGGGGGTGAAAATCGAGGAGGGCGGTTATGAAAACCTAAATATCAATGTTGATTGGCCTAAAGTAACATTAAACTTGGAACTCACCGTTCATGCCGTCATGCAGTCCATCTGCGCCGCTTCTTTAGTCCCGTCGAACGAGCATGTACCCGGGGATGTCACACAGCAAAAGACGGAGAATATCTACAAAATATCGTTCCTGGCGTGTGTCCCTTGATTCCTAGAATGTCCTTCGATATGCGGAACCAAAGCTTTCACAAGTCACTTCACCCTCGAATAATTTTTACACTTCATTCAGCCTCCTCGATTCGCGTGTCCCAGGAGAAAATGGCGCTCACCGTGCGCGCTTCATTCACACTGTACTAGTGCTACACGTGTACGTGTTTCTGTATATCCCCGCACAACAATGAAAGTTATGTGAACTTCGACACGGCGCTCGTGCGCGCGCTAATTAGCATATCGATTTGTACGTTAGTATGGTCGGCCGAAGAATCAAAATATTGTTGTAAATGGACCAACGATACAAATATCGTGGGAACTCAGTTGACCAAAATGTTAACCCTCGCGACTTTTAAAGTCGCACGCCGGCTTTGCATTTTTTTCAGGTGTAAAGTGCAAGAATTATTTTGGAGCATGACCATAGCTTCCTACTAAGAATGGCTCGTTTTTGTATCGTGATTAGTGACGAGATGTTTCAAATATTATTTCTGCATAATGTACACATAGTTTTGGCATTGCTTACCTTTTCAAATGCATCAATAAAGTGTGGAACATTATGTTATGAATTTGACAGCATTAATCTGTGACAAGTGAAGTGATCATACAACGGATTTATGTTTCCATGTTTAAGATTTGGACCAATAAAAATACTTTGATGGACTTTTGGGGGAGCATATATAGAGTCACCGTTTTGGCGAAGCGAGAAATCTATCCAAAACCGAGATTTTCCTAAATCTGAGATTTTGGATATTCTAACATTTTATGACGTCCTCTACTTGATCATCACATTTCGAGACACAGCATTCCATCGTTCGTTAATTACGCTAATTACGCTAATTGCACAAAGTATTAAACGTGCTACACACTAAGTTTTTCGTTTTGACGAAGTGACGAATCTCTAGTTGTCACTCAGTCTCACTGATTTTACACGTGTGCTATATTTAGAAATATGAAGCCTCCATGATTTGCGTTTTGACGAACTGTCGAAACTGCGTTCTAAAATGCATACATTGTATATACGCGCACGCTGTGTACAAACATATGCCTCATTATTGTGAAGCAGTACATTTTCCGTTTTGACGAGGTGACGGATATCTTTAGTAATCAATATCTTCTAATTAAACATGATTTTATGAACAGAGTGAGTTGTTTTTTGGCTATTTAACTCCTGGGCTATTGTATCAGTTATATATTTTTCAATTCTGGGTGAGAAATGTACACACGAATGCAACTTGAACAATCAACTTCAAACGCCACTTTCTCAAAACTCGGTTTTGCATCTGTGTGCACAGATGCGTCACTTTGTCAAAACGGGGACGACAGGGTGGGGTGCATGCAGCTCACTATAGAAATGATAAGCAGCATACGGCTTTATTAATTATTCTCAGATAGCTCGTACTCGTAAAATATGAAGTGGAATTTGTATAATGATTTTTAAACGTTGGCAGGCATATGTGGTTTGGTACTGATTTCGATATCGCTACCGTGACGGAATGCATAATGTGCTCGAATTTGGTCCCAATTTATTCAATTATGAGAAACTTCTCGTGTTTAATAGACAATCTGGATGCTTTGAACATGTTTCAAGCACTCCGTTGTTTATGCAACATACGGTATTATTATTTTGTCTTATAGGCAACACAAAGCATTTCAAATTATGTAATTAATTCCGTTGATGTTGATGGCTACATGCGAAAGCGTATACTTTCGATAACCTTGAAAATTGAGCGTAATATATTCCACAAATTTGCTTTTACGATTTTTATTCGGTGTAGATTATGTGAGCGTCTGCTACTCGAGCCTAGCATAAAATATGGATCAAGTGTGCATAATGTTATGAATGCATAATTTGAAAGTTCTAACGGTTCCCACCGTTTCTCTACAACGGTATAAAGTGTAGGAAACCGGGAACCAGCCAAAACTTCCGCTGGTTAATATGCAGAAATAGCTCCCTCTGTAGTTCACGAACAAGGCATTTTGGTTTGCCAATTGTGATTGAAGCTACCAGTAGAATATCTGCAAAGTTTAGGAGAACTAATTTAATGAATGCATTAAATACAATAAATAAATTAGAAGCTACAAGCTAATAGCAAATTTCTATATGCCCTATAATTCATTATTACTCCGCTCGACTTCATATAAAAATGTTGCCTCTGAGAGAACAGTTTTAGAAAGCTGCTAGAGCCTCCGATGCGAGTAAGAAAAGCGATATCTCTTTTGGAGTGCACGAAACAAGTGAGTAGTTTTTTGCTTATCTTAGATTTCGTCGATCAAGAAAGTAGTAGTTTTTAATGCAACTTCTTTAGTCACAAGTCACAGATCGAGTAAAAAGCTGGGTAACAATTAAATCTTTGATGAACGATGACGCAGTGTTTATTTATTTATCATATAGGAAGAAACATCTGCCCCCAGATATGCAAGGGGTCTATAGCTTGTCACATGACTAGTAATCACTCTGTGACTCACTCGTGAGGAATGATTACTTCATTGTCGACGATTGAATCTATAGCTATAGGGTCTGGTCACGATAGCAGCCCTAGCCTTCGGCTCGGGTCATTATCAATGACCAGCCCCAAAGCCGGTTTTAAACCACACGTTTAAAAGTGCCGTAGCAAACTATAACTCCCTTATTATTGACGACAAAATATCGAAAAATTTTGTAATGTCAGCTACTTGCACATACCAACCAACCGGGTGATCTATGATTTTTTTTAAGCTGACTATAGAAAGATTTTCATTGGTTGCGTTCAAGTTGCTCACCCGGATTGACTCAGGTAAAGGCAGACGGGTTAGCCACGATAGCCGGGCTAGCCGAACGCTCGACCGCAGGCCATTTGATCATCACATGACGTTCATAGCCTCGGCCGTAGCCATCGACAAAACGCCCTTTTCAGAGTGTCTCTTATTATCTCTTTTTAACTGCTTTTCCTTCTTTTGCAATTCATCGTTGGGCTGGAATTATAGGCTCTAAAGTCGCAACGAAATCAATAAATAATTATGTAAAACGACAAATAAGGTAGAAATGTCTCCACTGTCGAGCCGCCATAGTTCTCCGTTATTTGGAACTAACAACGCTTGAATGTGACATATTATTTCAGCCACTTACCTTGCTCCACGAGCAGGGTCTGTGGTGAGGTGGCTGACCAAAGTCAGCCCCGAGAATCGACTTAACAGCTAATCGAACGGCACGTGTCTAACCCGAGTCGACCCAGGTGAGCTACTCGAAAGCACCGTTGAAAAGTGTTTCCTCTGGGCAAAACCCTATGTGCACGTGACGACGCGTGTGCACAAATTGTACGTGCATTGATCATGGGGTGTCGCCAGGATTTTTTTCTCTGGGCCGGGCGGGGGGGGGGGGGGGGGGGGGGGAGCAACGCACATTATTTCCGAAAAGCCCTGTACTTTCTCTGGCATGTTTTCATTTATCATTTGTTAGAGGGTGAGCGGGGGGGGGGGGGGGGCGTTTGCCCACCCTTCCCACATTAATTGAGACCCCTGCGGACACCATTGTTGTTAAATGTGCATTAAATTAGCAATGACTTTGCACCTCTTTTTCTTTCTTCCCCCCCCCCCATTTTCCTCTTCTTTTTTGGCACTTTTCCAGCCCCTCCCCCTTGCCCCATCCTGGCGACGCCCATTTCATTGATAATGGTTGTTTAAGGACATGCAAAATGCTTTTAAACATCTCATTATCTTAAAAATAGTTCATAAAAGAAAGAAGGAATGCGGGTAATATTTAAGGAGTGCTACTTTTTCGCATGTATATTTTTACCGTTGCCATCCTGGACGTAATTATCAAAGAAATGAGCCATATTCAGTAACACGTATAAAATGACTCAGAATGGGTTTTGTGTTTTATTGCTTGCTTGAATTCGGCAGGAGATTTTGTTTAAACAAACATGGAGAGCTACGAATTACAGCGAGCCAGGAATGCCGTGCAAATAGTCAGTGGCGTAGCTATAGCCTGCAACCTCATTGTGGTCGCCATCTTTGCTGCTAAGAAGCAACTTCGCGTCAAGTACTACGGCTTCCTCTTCAACCTCGTGCTCACCGACCTCGCTCACGCCACTTTGGCCATCGTGTACATCACGGAGTACAGCCCCCTGGCCTCGGCTCTGTTTCGCACCTCGTTCTTCGTGACGGAGTTGAACGTTCTGGCTGTTGCCATCAACCGCCTGATAGCGCTCACCATCCTGCCACCAGCCCGCTACGACGCCATAGTCACCCCACTGCGCATGCTCGTCACCTGCGTTCTCTTCTGGGTGGTATCTGGTGCCATCTACATCCCAACCACCTATGCTGTTAGTCTGCCTGTCGTCACCCGTTTCATTAGGCCACTGATCGCCCTGATCATCTTGGTGGTCACGGCAGTTCTTTACGGCGTCGTGTTTGGCAAGATCGCGAAGTATCGAGCCGCTCAGGCTTCAGCTTTGACCGGTAAAGACGACGAAAAGACCCAAACCAGCGTGGAGCAAACCACACGCCTGATAATCACATTCTCCATCATCCTCGTCGTCTCATTTCTGTGCTGGATCCCTTATTGCACTTGCCAGTTCATCATTTATTTCAGTGGCACCGATTGGTATGGTCAGACCGAGCTGTTCCGAGTCGTATTCGTCTACACCCTGGCATTCCTGATGGTCAACTCAGCCGTGAATCCCTTCATTTACTGGTGGCGTATCCCCGAGTTCCGCGCAGACTGGTGCTGCTGCGGCGAGGGAAAGACCGTCGATGCGCACGCGAAACCGACCAATATGGAAACAATCGTTGAATCTACCACCACCATGTAAACCTGATGTCATCCTTACGTAATAGGATATTTCTGACACTTGAACAACCTCGTTTCCGTACTTTAACACTGTTGTGAGGCGCAAAAGAGCCAGTTAAAGTATACCTCACACTTACCTAATTTTGTCCATGCATAAGACCTTTATCAAATCTCAAAGCTCGCACTTGTCTCCAGCTACGACTGCCATTTTCGCTTACAAATCATCGAGAATACTTCAAGATATATTCCCCTATTTTTGTAGCCAGTCCTGCGACAAACGCAGTAAAGTTGCCCCAGCGGGGGAGGTATGTAATCCAGCCTTAGCTAAACTGGCAGAGCTACCAGGGAAATTTTGAGCATACCTCGCGTGCATGCATGTACTTGAATACAGCGCGCGTGAGGTATGAGTGAGGTATGCGTGAGGTATGCCTAAGGTATGTGTGAGATATTCTCATAATTTCCTGGGTAGCGCTGCCAGTGTTGCCAAGATTGTATTTCAAGATTCATCTTGTTGGTAGCCACCTCGTTTGTCACGGACAACAAGGGATATACAATTTCAAATCCAGTATTTTGACCCGGACTTCATTTGAGTAAACTTTGCTGGATTTTACACACAAGTGAGCTACATCACCATCAAGCACTCTCAAACATCTCAACTTCTTGTTTTCAAATGATTCCGGTTGTTTTTCTTTTCACATTAAATAATGTAAATTTGAATTATGAATCAGACTCTTTTGAAATACAATTTTGATTTATTCAATTATCATAAGTGATATTTAATTTGTGATTAAGCCATCAATTATTGTTGAGATTCATGATAATGACGTTCACTTTAAAGTAACATTTGCTGGAATAGGGTTTCAGAGGTTTTTACAATTTTCCTTTGTTTATAAACTTTAAAAATCAAAAGGCAAATCACAATTTTCATTAATTAATCAACTTAATAATTCTGAATGAATATGAATCATATTATAAAAGTTGGTTTTAAGGGCAAACAATTGAATTTTTGGTTAACCTTTGATTTAGCTTATATGAAGAAGGTTGTAAATTAAATGTCAATGTCATAATTGATTAGCACTTTTGGAATTAAACATTTTGAGCATTTTGTAAATTTTGAGTATTGTAAATATAATTTAGAATTGGGAACAGCACACAAATTAGACAAAGAAGATATGAAACATTTGTTTACTTCCTTTGGTGGGCCTGATTTGACTTTTTGACTGAGATATGATCAATTTATACAGAGAAGTATATGCAGATGAATAGATTATTTGCATCATAATAAATTGTTATCATATATATGCCTATTCTACTGAAACAGACTTTATTTGCACTGTATCGAGGTAATTGTTCATTCATGAAATAGAGAAGGGGTATCTCTATGGAATTTTCTTTTCAATCTGAGCTTCGGAATCAAGATAAGGAGGAGGATGATTCGGTATTCGGTATATTAAATCAAAGTGCAAAATCCAATTTTAAAATAATCTAAATTATAATAACCAGAATTCTGCAATTTTGTGGGTTAAGGCTACGTAGCCACTGTTATCTGTAAATTGTCATAACCGTGTAATCCAATTTTGAAATGTTTGCTTACATTTATTAAACAGGGACATATAGTGGTGTCATATCTTCATGAATATGCATAGTCCTCCGTGTACCTCTTTTTTGCTAGCGAGAGTGTTCCTGTCGAAGTTACTCAAGGAACCGCTTCTAAGTTACCTACAGAAACAAATTGAGCGAGCTTCATCACGGAAGAATTCGTAGTGAATTACTTTCAGGTATATACGCATGTACAGGTTGTGTACAAAAACCGAAACGCAATGTCGGGACCAATTTGGAAAGAATATCTGCATGTAGCACCTTTAAAATCTAGGATATAAAAGCCCACAATTAAAAAGCCTTCTTTTAGTACTAGAATCATTCAAATCACTGAATATACTTGAATGGGATTTTAAACACAGGCACCGTTTTAAAAGTCTGTTTCTTTCATCGAGACAAAACAATTCACACACATCTCTATATGCATGTGCTACATGCAAAACTTTACTTTAAAAAATGGTCCCGACATTTTTTTGTTTCGTTTTTTTTAACTCACCCTGTATATAGCACACTTAAAAAAAACTCATTAGGTAATAGTCTGGAAGAAGTTTTGAACCACACAGTTGTGGGGTGCAAAAAATATTATATATATTATTATGGAAATGCACGTAACTTGGAGAACAATTTTGAAATTAGAAACATCATCTTGATTCCAAGTACTTTCGTCTGTAAATTGAACTTTTGGGAATTAAATCTCATGTGCGTCTCTGGACTTGCATTCAAAAGTTGATCACTACAGCTCCCTCATCTGCCCATTGCCAATATACCTAGTTACCTACTGCGTAGAGGCCATCTTAGAGAGCAACACCATATGTTTGCCTGGTTATGCATGAGTGAATCGTTTATGCATTCGTTGCTGCTGAGTGTTGGATATAAGTTAAACGATGCCTACTTATTGCCACTAAGCATTACGTTATTGTGACCACAGGTTCTAGCTCTATGGTAGTACGAATGTTCCAAAATAGTGAGCGGTTCTTTGGATAGGTTGTTGGAACAATATGCTTTTCTTTAAGTGGTTTGACAAGTGGGCACACCAAACAACTTTAATTGCCACCGTTGAAAATAGTTTTGCTTGGGGCCAAAATGTATCCTTTATTCTAATGTATTAACAATTCTGAAGCTCTGATCCACACTCAAAATGTGCACGTGAATTGTGAAAGTTGAAAGCCCTTACCTTGCGTAAGAGTCACGAATTAAAGTTCCAGTCATCTGCTTGTCCACACAATATTGAATCACAGCTATACGAACGAGATCTTTGTCTCTTTCGCGCGCCATAAGAGCCCGTTATTGTTATGCTAATTCAGCGCGCGCGAGCCAGCTGTCAAAAGTTCGCACAACTTTTGCCGTTGTGTGGGATACAGACATACACACACGTGTACGTGTTGTGGTGTGCTGAGCGCCATTTTTAGCGATGCGTGTATCGACAAGGTTGGAAGTTTGAAGTGTAAATATGATTGGAACCTTGAAAAGACTTTTGAAACTTTGGTTTCTGCATATCGAAGGACACTCTAGGAATAGAGGGACACATTCCAGGAACACTATTTTGGAGAGTATCCGTCTTTTGCTATGTGAATTCGGCGGATGGTTGTTCGACGGGACTAGGGCAGCGGTAACTGCTGGACTACAGCTACTCAGCGGTGAGTTGCAAGATACATTTTTTACTGTGCTTCTCGACCCCTCTATTTATGTAGTTGTTAAAACGGCCTTTGTCATTGAAAATGACTTCTTCAACATTGAGTTAACTTCTGTCCATTCCAATACCCATAGTTTTGTTATTTTTAACAGTATTTTTGGTGGAAAATATAGGTTTTCGTACTTGTCAGTGCCCCGCAAAATAACGATTCGTTGTGCATTCATTCATTTTGCATCGCAAGATTAAGGTTAGCCCCATAAATGTGGCCTATTAACTGGACTTCCTCCGTAAACATAGGCCACACTTCCATATGTACAAAAACGTGTCGCACTTTGTCAAATTTTGATTTTCACATTTAGGCTTAGTTTGTAGGTTTATTGTTTTAGAAGCATACTCACCATCTTTATAGGCTAATCAGAAAGTGCTGCCTTTTTCAGATGTCTAATTTTTGTGAAATTTCAACATGAAATTTTGATCCGCAAACGTGTGCAAATGAATCTGAAAATTTCACGAAAAAAAGACATCTGAAAATGGCAGCACTTTCTGATTAGCCTTTAAAGATGGTGAGTATGCTTCTAAAGCAAAAAAAAACTACAAACTAAGCCTAAATGTGAAAATCAAAATTTGGCAAAGTGCGACACGTTTTTGTACATGTGGATGTGTGGCATATGTTTACGGAGGTAGTCCAGTAAATAGGCCACATTTATTGGGCTAGATTGAGGTAGTCATCTGGGTTTCTTTCCTGGGGGGTCTCTTTTTGCCAAATAATAACCCTAACAAAAACAAGAATTTAAAAACACCTCAAACTTCCAGTGACATTACCTTGGTTTTCGACATCACTAGTGAGTCAAAACAAATCAAGGTAAATTAGTATCGCATAGGGAAGTGTAGCCCCATGAGGTGTGGTCAAAATACCGAACTTCCACTGTATTGTGAGCCACAGAGCGGCGCCATGCTAAATGTAGGGGAAAGTTGATTTGGAGGACTTGAAATCAGGATTATTTTTTTCCATTTGATTGGCACTTTGGAAGATACTAACCTGGTTACTAACCAACAAAAATATAAATGTCATATTTTCATGACCTGGGACCAATAGAAAAAAAATGTTTTTGGACAAACCCACTGCAAATTTCGCCTGAAAATTACTGGATAACTAAACACCGACAGGAACAGAATTAAATTTATCCTGGCGTTTTAACCAAGTAAATATCTTTCATCAAGTGGGAAAACAAACATTTCAATTTCCCCAAACGTTTCCCTTCATTTAGCCTCTGTGTGGCTCACAATTATAAGGAGGATAGCTAGTATTTCAGCCCCATTTATGGGGCTATGGAAAGGGGTCCTTAATTAGATTTGTACTCATGTTATAGAGTAAACAGTAACCTTCTGTATTTTTTGGCTGGTCCCAGAGGACCAGTACAGTCTAAAGTCCCTACGTGAATGACTGGATAATTACTGTTAATTGTCAGGTTTAATTGTAAAGTAGACTTGCTTAAGCCTCACCTTTGACCAAAAAAATGCCGACACCCTGTTAGATTAAACGGGTTTGTACTAGCTTTACTAGAGTTGCTTATTCTTTGGAGAACATCTTGTTAAACGGGATTTAAGTCACAATAACACTACTTATTGTCGTGCATATTTTACTTCAATGAAAAGAAAACCTGTCATTGTTATAATTACAATATGTAAAAACATGATGCTAGGGGGTGGTATTTTGTTCCCGCCTTGTGGTCTTGAAATAACTGTCTTCGAGATACGCCCGCAATTCGTTGAGCTCTTTGTCGCTAACCTTGTATTATGTTCAGTTACTTAACAATTAGCACGTAATCGTGACATGTTAACTAACATGTAATTATGCGATGTTAATTGGCATCATCATGCATGTTGATTAACATGTACTTATGCCGTAATAATTCATATGTCGTTACGCCACGTTAATTAACATGTTATTATGTCATGTCAATTAACATGTTGTTATGCCATGTTAATTAAAATGTAATTATGACGGTTAATTTACATGTAATTTTGCCGCGTTTATCACCATGTAAACTTGCCACGTTAATCAACTTGTAAGTATGCATGTTAATTAACATATAATTATGACTCATAAATTAATTTGTTCAGATAGTTATGAAATTTGTAAATTCTGTTACAAAACAGATGCCGAACCATGGAGGTTGCATAACAAACTTTTAGGGTTGATAATAATCCCTTTGAAAGGCAAACACAAAATAAAAAACATAATTATTTGGAAGACTACAATTTTGTCGAACCGCAATCATAGGGCTTGATAGCTCAGTTGTTACGGCATCGAAACGGCAATCGGCTCCCAGGTTTAAAACCCTCTCAATCAGTCAACGTTTTTTTTTTTTTTTCAAATTGCCTAAAACAATAATAATGCACCACGTCGGTTTCCCTTCGGGGTTTATTTATAAAAACTAATAATAAAGACAAATACACACAAATGTGGAAAAAAAGAAGTCAACAACAGAGTTATTTAAAAATATGAATGTGACTGTGGACGTAATAAACATGTATTTAGGCCAGTGAAAGAATTGAAAAGGCTTCTGCATTTCTTTTTTACAAAAACAAGATTGAGAACTGAGATGGGTTGTTCAGGTTACACTTTACATCAACAACTTGAATTTTGAAACACACTTTAGCTTTGAAACTTTGAGTTCCAAACCCCGGCCACGAAATGTGTCTTCAAACTTAAGTATTTCTTGATTTTCTTTTAGACATAGATGGTTACCTTTGTATTCGGTTTTCCCCTTATAAGAGCGGCGCTTATAAGGGCGGCAAGCCCTTGATGCATCTCTGTGTGTTCTTAGAAAATGCAGTCACATATTTTTAACACTAACAGTTTATCAACTGATGGGGGGGGGGGAATGCGGCGAACACAATGCGAAAAAAAAATGCGTGCAAGGCAGCTATAGTAGAATGTTTAAGTCACCTCCATTTTTTTGTCTCATATGCTGTGACTTATTACTTTGTATCTATTTGTAGGTCACATAAAATAGATTAGGCTATCTCTATGAGCAAGGCTTCAATCTTTGAAGCATACAACCATTCATTTGTGATTTGGAACTATATGGTCTTCTTCGTTGCACTGTAAAGCCCGCCACACACGAGAGCTACGTGCTTGGCCAAACATTTCGAGGCCGTTTGCTCAGCACGTGGTTCACCGTGTGCGGTGAATTTTTGCTGAGTTTTCTGCCTCGCGAGGTAGTGAGGCAAATATCTATCCTGTTTGATTTCTGTCGCCTCGCGAGGCGAAAAACTCACCCAGTGCGGTCACCCTGAGCTACGTGCTGGGCAAACGGCCTCGGATGACTTTTTGCTCCTCACGTAGCGGGCTTGAGTTTATCTTCGCGTGTATTTTTTTGGTGTGAATCTCTTTGGCAGCACAATACATTCTCATTCCACAGCTTTAAACAGTAAATTAACAGCAAGCACAAATTGAGAATCCCAAATAAAACAACATGCCGTTCAAACAAGTGTGCAGCTAATCTAAATTTAATTTTCAATACAAACAGCAACAGTAAAATCTGAGTAAGTACCATAACTTAGTCAGTAACGATTCGCAGGCCAGAGTATTGAGATGCATCATAATGTCCGTAACAGTTTTGTGGTAGAGATCAAATAGGGCTGTTGTCACAAAATAAAATGGTAAGGATTGCCCCATAGAGAATATGACGTGTAAAACATGAGAACCCAAGTAACAATTAAATGAGATTAATTATTAACTTCATGTCATTGTTACAAAACTATTATATAACAGAGATAAATGATCCAGGCAAGTGGTAATAGGATGAACCATTATGTATTATTTTACTGCTTGCAATAAATTCATGCTACTACTTAGAATAAAAGGCAATGAATAATTTGGAGTGAATTTAAGAAAAACTGAAAATTGTACAATTGTACTTTTTTCTACACAAAATTGAAAAAGATACACAATGTGAACATCCTCATTGCATGTGACTTCAGCATTCGGTTGCTAAAATGTGTCGGTTCAGTGCGCGACATCGCGTACGTAGCTGCAATGGGCTGAATGAGAACATGTCCCGGACGCTGAATTTGGGCGCAATTCAAAAAATATTACTCGGCATCTTTTTATTTGAAAGCGAGATCCTATATTGTTTGCTCGGAAATACAGCATTCATTGAACCATTTCATTCTCGAGTCATCAGATTAGTTGCTTAGTAAGCACCCTTTTTCATATTTTGAGCACTCTTGTTGCTTCAAACGCACATAGTGCACGAATTACAAATGATGTACTGTGCCTTTATACCGGTTCATTGTGTTGGCCACATACTTCCAGTGAAAGGCCATTCTAAGTTGAGCGGCTTATGTGTGCTTTAGGATCTCCATTGACTTTTTGAACTCTTTATTTTAAAAGAACCTACTTTGCCACACACACAAAACAGTTAGCAAATCTTTTTCGTATTTAAAATTTTAGCGGTGTAGTGTTTCAAAAGATAATTGAACTCAAGAGTCACAGCAGGAAGTGAACATGGCATCGTATATGCTAGATAAATATTACACAACGACATGATAAAAACAAATTCAATACAGGCATGCGGTTTCAAGCGTGCTGACAAGTCCGGCTATAACACTTTATGAAGCAAACAACATCAACAATGGCTAATTTGATGAGTTACAATTTGCAAAATAAAACCATACAGTAAAAAAAGATGTCTTCGTTGTACAGCCCACATGTACAGCCCACACGGCAAAATAAATCAATTTTGAAATGAATGACAAAAGTAAAATAATGTTAACAAAGGTTATAAGAAAGAAAAAAACTGTATAAACAATGAGTGTTTACCGGAGGTACAAGCTTGACGAGAAGTATAACCCACTTGAGTAAGTTCCACAACAAACGACTGAGTATGTCATTAACGACCCAATTTTACACTCTAAAGACTCTTAGTAAACTTGGATATACCGCAATTTATTTATGGCATACTTGTTAAGCGCCTCATTTACATTTGCTTATAAGTTCTTAAAAAAATGAGTCCTTCTGCCCTTGAACTAGCTACAATTGAAATAAAACCATTACAATTAAGAAATCACATACATCTTAATATTGTTATAGATTAAACAACCACGCACGAACCCTTTTAAGTATTTTTTCTCACATAAAAAGTGAAAAGAAGACTAATGCCTCCTGACTTACTACAAAGGGGAATGTAGGAACACTGATTTATTTATTTCATTTATGAATCTCCAAATAACATCCACTTGTTTCCCTTCACGAACTGGTGTGTATACTGTATGAAAATCCCTTTAAGCCACAGAATCTTGAACGCGGCTTTGATTTCAGGTCCTCGATCCCCGACGAAATAGTTTGTTTGATCGTTTACTTGCTGTGATATACACTTATATTTTTGCCAATTGTGTAATCTGGTTTCCGGGGTACCTCGGATATGAATACAGGTACCTTAATTGCAATTTTTTTTTTATAGAATAAGAAAACAGGAAAAACGATTACTACAAATGTTATGACATTTTTTTTTACATGTTCATGTGTAATTGGGCTTCATGTGTTTTCCTGCTTTGTCATGTATCAGATACAATGCACAATCAACAACTGGGTTTTTTTTGGATCAAGGTTATGATAATGGACTGTTTTAAGCACTATTGCCATGTTGCTGTCATGGCTTAATATTCTTCGCAAGCATAAAGACATGTCGATACTTTTCGTAATCAAACGTTTCAGCAAAAGATAAAGTGCGCGAATATAATATCCCAAATTGTGTGAACTTGTCGAATTGATTTTGCTCATTGATTCAATCCAATTGGATCAAGGTTATGATAATGGACTGTTTTAAGCACTATTGCCATGTTGCTGTCATGGCTTAATATTCTTCGCAAGCATAAAGAAATGTCGATACTTTTCGTAATCAAACGTTTCAGCAAAAGATAAAGTGCGCGAATATAATATCCCAAATTGTGTGAACTTGTCGAATTGATTTTGCTCATTGATTCAATCCAAAGAGTCTCGCTCAGAACTTTTCAAAGTCTGATCCACCTGTGACCGACATTTTGTAGATGTTCTCCTGGCAGCTTTCCAACGATAAGTATTCCTAAAATCCAAAAAGACAGACAAGGCAATGTAGAGTTCCAAAACTTCATCCACTCATCCCATGTTCTTCAAGGGGTCTGACTAATATTCTCCATACACAAGTGTAAAACCTCTCAGTGGTGAAAATGTAAAACGACGGCTGAAATACACACTCTACTGGTTTGAAATAACTCTCAAGATATGTAAATAGCCAATAAAAAAACAACGAATTCAAGCCTCACGTAGGTCAAGCTTATATATGCAAGTCTCATGATCTAATTGATGGCTTAAGTCGAAGCCGAGGCTGTCTCAACAGAAACATTACCCTAACTGACGGTAACAAATAATTGATTTTAACAAAAATAATAAATCTGCGAATTCAAACCCGACGCTAGTCAACTTTGTCACCCATTGCCTTAATTTATCCTTAATGAAGTCTAAACCAGGACATTCTGGAAATAATCATGTGTTTTTTAGGGTTTCTGTTTTGTGTGGATAGGCTACTCACGTCAGCTTTTTCCACCAATCCTCCAAGTTTCTCGGCGATCGTTGCAAATGTCGGTCGGGCTGCCGGGTTCTTAGACCAGCAAGGACGCACCACCTGGTACCTAAGAAAACAAGTATGAAGAGGTTAAGTGTTTAAGGACAATAAAATATGGTCTGGATAAAACCGGGCATTAGTGGATGGGTACTTTGCCCAATATTGATCTATAAACCAACTCCATCTAGGACAAATTCTTACTCAATAGTTGATCAACATTTATCCAAATTAACCAACAATGTGGTAACTGCTACCATGATTGGGAGTAAAACACCGACCAACTGTATTGCACACACTTTTTTTCATAGTGGAAACATACTATAAATAGACATGGGGAGAGATAGGTCTGACACTCATATTTACAATTTCCTTTTCATCTTGTTGCCTTTCCAACAAACAATTTGATTTTTTTCTTTCTTTCTTCGCATTTGGTTTATTTTGTGACATCAAACGGGACGGTCGTATCCTTTGATGTAGGCGAATGTTTATTTCAGTTACAACATAAATTACAGATAACACATAAATTATTTAATGTCAAGAACAAAGCATCGGTAATTAAGCTGTTTCGCATGACTCTTTAAAAGGGTGATTTACATTGAAACCCCCTTTCCATATTCAATGGTCGAACCAATAGTTGCACTTCGATATGATGAGAATCGAACCCAAATTAAAGAGACACTTCTGCATGTTCCAATCATAAAATAATTGGGTTTTTTTGTTTGTGTAAAGAAACTCACAAGTGCAGTCGACAGTGGTCGGGACGGGGCATCCGGTACCCTGACTTCACTTTGGAAACCACTTTCTTGGCACTCAGGGTCGGGTATGGGTGGCCACCTGTGAGAAAAATTGGAATTAAAAAGCAAACTTTGTAATCCAGTCAATCCCAAGTCAATCCATCACAAGCATAAGCATAAGTTTGATCACTGACAAGCCCAATCACAAGCCATTATGACAAGTCCAATCTTCTCTTCTTCTTTCATTTGAGGAAGCAGAAGGTCAAGCTATTCCGTTCAGTTGTCTAAGCCATGAATTTGTTAGCTCGCTGACAATGGCGAGGTCCACCGTGTCAGCTAGGATATCATGGATATCATTGGTCATACCAAGAGTAACTATTTCCCACAGCAGAACCCCAAAAGACCACACGTCACTCTCTGTTGTGTACACGTCATCAAGGATGGACTCCAGTGCCATCCATCGCAAAGGGGAAAATCCCTGAACATCAAAAGAAAAAGAAAACATACCGATAAAATTGCGGTACAAACGTCCTGATAGAACTCACGTTGAAGAACATTAAACTAAAAGCACTAACACGCATCTCAATTGCATGACGTAGTATTACTTTGAAAATAAACCCTCAATATTATTTTGTATTGATATATTGTCGTTGCTGCTATTTGTTATGTGTCTTGTAGTTAAAGTTGGAGAGCTTCTCGAAAAAAGTGTTTTATCAGCTTCTTAGGCAATCCTACAGTCCTGAATATGATACAGTTTCATTATTTTTCATCCCCTTGCTGTAAGCCGGATGGGGATACTGCGATAGAGTATTCCTTATGTGTGTATGCCCATAATAAACGTATTAAATGTCAAATATTTCCCATTCCCGAGTAAGCAAGTATCGTTACCGTGTTTTTGCGTTGGTGTGTTCTCATTTCGGCGACGTCACTGGCGAATCCAAAATCGGATATCTTGCTCACCATATCCTCGCTGACGAGGACGTTGCGGGCGGCAAGGTCTTGATGAAGACACTAGTGCAAATAAAACGAAAGGGACAAGCCTATTAAAGCCGACCTCAGAGCGCATAAATGTTTGTCCCATTGATCCAGAATGCATTAAATTGAATTATATTTAATCACGTGCATACACAATCGGTCGGATTCTTCCCATTCATTTGGGTTAAGGAGTAATCCTACACGATAACACTGCCCGACTCACAAGTGACATTCTCTTATCCAGTCAGTCAGTCATTAGAGATAGAAATTGAGTCCACTGCCCCAAACAAACTCGTCTGTGACCTGGTATTGGCATCGACTAGACTTCCGTGTGTTTCCGACCACAATCTAGTTCCAACTATACTATGGGCGGTCCCAATTATGTAGTAGGCGCCATTGCAATAGTCGGGGCATAATAGCTAGACTCACCCCTTGTGAAGCCAAGTAAGCCATGCCTTTGGCCACGCCCCTGGCCAGACTAAGCAGAGTCTTGGGTGAGAGGGATGCACACACAGCACCTCGCAGGTTGTCATACACCCGTTCGGATCGGCTATCAGTCAGAATCTCCTTCAGGTTTCCATTTGCCACGTGTTCCATGATGACATAGATCGGGTCTGTGCATACGATTGCCAAAGTATCAACAGTTAAACAGCAACACAATTAGGGATACGGGGACCATATTATCAACAAATTTTCAGTCTTTGAAGAATCGCCCAGTAATAAGCCAGTTCTATCTTTGCGGGCGCGCATTATTATTTCCTTGAGGGTTAGCAATTATTTGAACATAATGCCTCAAGAAAATGTGCCAACATAATTGAAAACAACTTTTGAACTTAATGACAAAAAAAATAGATAAATGCAGAATGGAAATTCGATTCTAGTACTCTCAGAGAATTTAATGTACATTTACCTGCTGTGTTTATAATTATCACCAAAATACTAATCTTGTAATCAATTAGTGCGCAAGCAGTGGGAAAAACGCATAGTGGCTTACTGATTGATGATTTTAAGACATTTGCTTTAATAAAAGGCTACTTTTTGGGTAAAAGGACATTACTAATAAATGTAGTTACAAACTTAAGACTAACAGTTGATAATCAACTTTCCATATTGTTACCTGCGTTGATGCAGTATCCAAGAAGCTTAACGATATTCTCGTGACTAGTGAGAGGTTTCATCGAATTCAACTCTCGAATCAGGTTCTCTTTCTCCTTTGGGTCGCTTTTATCTACATAAAATGTAAGCAAAAACATTCATCTGACGAAGGTAAAATTCAGAGCCACTACACTTCTCAATACTGGTAGGGTGAATACAGGTTCATAAGCTCTTTGTACGAACAGTACATGGCACTTTGTGAAAACTCACCTTACTTTCCTCACACACCATACAGATATACCTAACCCAAATAATGCCTCTAGACCTGTTTTCCAGAAAGCCTGTAGCGTCTTCGCGTCGAGCGTCTGTCACTGTTTGTGTAATAATTGTGTATTTATAAAGCGCACATATCCACCAGTCCTGTATTGGTAGTCAAGGTGTTACATCATTATATCGCTGCTGATTGGTCATTGAAACATTCCAAATACCCTCTCAACTCCCTGGGGAGTATACAGCGCGATGCTGCCATTTCGGCGCAAAACAGCTTAAGTCAATCACAACCATCTCTGCCCCCGCATGTGCTTGGTCTACTCCTGGTCGGGGAGAAGCAATGAAAGACAAAGTGCCTTACCCGCAGGCGCGCGCATTTTACCTGCAGGATCACCCGCAGAAATACCATCTTAGCTCCCTGAAAAGTATCCAGCTCCATGCTGCCATTTCGGCCCAAAACAGCTAACATCAATCACAACAACTATTTCTGCCCCCTTGTTTACTCCTGGGAGATAGGGACCAATGAGTGACAAAGTGCCTTGCTCTAGGGCATACGCACCATAACCCTAGGCTGTACTCGAACCCACAACCTGCAGAATTACCCGCAAACCTCGAACTCAGTGCTCCAGACCATGAGGTCACGGTACTACACAATCAAGGAGTCTTAACAAAGTATTTAGAGGCCTCTTACCTTTTACAGTTTTGACAGCCACGTGGGTGATAAGGCCTCGCTGCTCGATGCCCACGGCTCTTGCAAGTAGCACCTTCCCAAAAGTGCCCTGGGTGAGTTCTTGCAGGAAGGTCAGCTGATCTCGCGAGATTGCTGCGCGGCGATCCGGGGTGTCAGCATATCTAGACGAATCACTTTCGACTGCGCGAATGGTTTGCATAGGGATCCCTGCAAATTAAAATTTCATAAGAGTGACATTATCCAAAAACACTCCTTGATATATACCAGTTCAATAAACTAAACTGTGGCTGAAGTCCCTGTACATTTTTGTCTTGAAATTAAGGTTCCAATAATAACAAAATGCGCATCACAAGACACTTATTTAAAGCAACTGAGGAACGGGAAAGCGAAGTCCTCAAAAAGTATTCAAGATGGCCGTCATTTATCGTAAACACGAAGCTTTACGTAATTGTATATATGACGCTTTAATGCAAATCTAGACAATCTGGTCATACAGGATGAAACTTTACCAGATAAGATTACCTCACTAAATTATAACCTGCATACAGATATTCTCAAATCAATTCAATGACCCAAATTGACATATTTGTTTAATTTACATTATAATTTCCTTTATGACCTACCCATATCTTCGTAGCATTCAGTATCTGCAATGACCCGGACAGGCCTTCCGATCCCAGCTCCACTGCAATTAAGATGGGGATTTGGTACTTTCAAGGATGGGGGCAGGGTCAAGCCTTGCCCTAAAGAGTTTGAACTAAATCTCGTCTAAAGACGGCGACTGGTCCTTACAATCATGTTTTGGCAAGCAGCTTAGTACACCAGCTATAAGCTTGAAAGTGCAACCGTATATTCAAAACGTAGAGTGTCATTTTGATAACAGTTATTTTGAGGCCAATGTAGACGCTGTAAATACTTTTATTTTAGTACTAACTCTCAGTAATATGTAAGGTTAGTATAAACAAATAAAATATTTGTTTTCACTCATTGAATTTTAGAATTAACGTGACATTGCTCACTTGCTTCAGTAAATGTTATAATTCTGCCGTTTGAATCAAGTACAAAATGGCTTTGTTACAATCAGGCAAATACCGTTCTGCGTTCTTTTCTTTAAACCATATCAAGGCACATGCTTGATGAAATGTAGGATTCAGCAACACATTCAACAAGGCCTTAATCAAAGGGATTCTGTGTTTCTAACTAATGGTGTTCGTACCTTCCTGAAATACTTTGTTGTTCTGTTGAGATACCCACAGTTTCGTAGCATTCCGTATCTGCAAAAACCCGGACTGGCCCTCCGGTCCCAGCTCCACTGCAGTTAGCAATTAAGATTGGGATTTGGTACTTTCAAGGATGGGGCAGGGTCAAGCCTCGCCCTAAAGAGTCTGAACTAAAACTCGTCTAAAAACGGCGACTGCTCCTTACAATCATGTTTTGTCAAACAGCTTAGTACACCGAGTATAAGCTTGAAAGTGCAACCGTATATTCAAAATGAAGAGTGGCATTTTCATAACAGTTATTTTGAAGCCAATGTAGACGTTGTAAAAACTTTTATTTTAGTACTAACTCTCACTAATTTCTTAGGTTGGTATAAACAAATAAAATATTTGTTTTCACTCTTTGAATTTTAGGAGTAAGGTGACATTGCTCACTTGCTTCAGTAAATGTTATAATTGTACTGTTTGAAGCACGTACAAAATGGCTTTGTTACAATCAGGAAAATACCGTTCTGCGTTCTTTTCTTTAAACCATATCAAGGCACATGCTTGATGAAATGTTGGATTTAAAAACACATTCAACAAGGCCTTAATTAAAGGTATTCTGTCTTCCTAACTAATGGTGTTCTTACCTTTGTGAAATACTTTGTTGTTCTGTTGAGATACCCATATTTTCGTAGCATTCTGTATCTGCAAAAACCCGGACTGGCCCTCCGGTCCTAGCTCCACTGCAGTAAGCAATTAAGATGGGGATTTGGTTCTTTGAAGGATGGGAGCAGGCTCAATCCTCGCCCTAAAGAGTCTGAACTAAAACTCGTCTAAAGACGGCGACTGGTCCTTACAATCATGTTTTGGCAAGCAGCTTATAGCTTTAAAGTGCAACCATATATTCCAACGTAGAGTGTCAATTTGATGACTATTATTTGAGGTCAATGTAGACCCAGTTAATACTTATATGTTAGTACTAACTCTCAATAATATCTGTTTACAATCCAAGAATTTTAGAAGTAAGGTTACATTGCTCACTTCCTTCAGTAAATGTGATAATTGTACCGTTTGAATCAAGTACAAAATGGCATGTTACAATTGGGCAAATACCATGAAATGGCTTTATGAAATGCAGGATTTAGTAACACATTCAACAAGGCCTTAATTAAAGGAATTCTGTGTTTCTAACTAATTGTGTACTTACCTTTGTGAAACGCGCTGCTGTTCTGTTGAGAAAGTAGACAAGTCAATGTTGAATACGTTTAACGACGACACAATATAATACGATAGGCGGATCCTATGTTATGTACGCAACAGTTTTACCTAGTTTTTCCATTTTTTTTTACAAGTACTTGAAACTAATTTTCCACATGATTGTGATTGCAGGGTTGTCACAAATTTCGTAGGAAATATAAGACACGTATGGTGTCTTTGGTTTGATATTATCAGAAACAAAATTGTAAAGATCTTCGAAAGTCGGGTAATCTCTCATCAGAAAAGAGTCCTTTTTTATGGGCTGCAGAAAAAGTCTAGAGTTCAAGAAAATACTCCATGTGTGTTACATGATACCAACTACTCAGTGTTTTTTGTGCACAAGTCATTAAACAAATATCTATTGTCTCCAAAAAATGAGCATAGTTAAGGCCTTACCCTTGTTTTGGCTGGACCTCTTTCGTTTACGGTAGAAGCAGCAGGCCGCCTGTATCACGATGCTGATGAGCAAAAGTATTCCCAGAACACTGACGGCAGTTAAAAATGGCCAGCTTGTCAGTACGCCGACGACTGAGGGAGCAACGGGTGCTAATAAAACAAATCAACATATCAGAAGTTTAATTGTAATTCATATACTTTCCGTGTATCTTCTAATATACTTTCAGTGTATCTTCGACACATCTTGTTTTTGGCCTGTACGAAGATACACTGATCTTTCGGGTAAACATTTGGCTAAAAACCGGTGACATCGTTATGCATGCATAGCGAAGAGGTATATGAGTTTGGATAACATTTTGATGTATTTTATAGCGATCCTCAAAATCCAACTCTTATTACTTTGTTGTCATGTACTCAAAAGTTTAAGAAATATTTTGGTTGTTTCCCATTACGTGGAATCAACAAAAAGAGCCAGTGATTTGAAGGCTTATTACTGTTTCTACTGTGATTTGTTAAATTCTCAAAAACCAGATCGAGGAACAAAACGCCCTGTCTAAGTATATAGTAGATCATGAACTTTCCCCCTAAAACCCCGAAGTAAGAAACCGTAAAAGGCTCTTTTGGAAAGTATAGCCCAACAATACTTCGCCTTATCAGAGTAGCTATCGTCCAAATTCACTTCTTTGTGTCCCGTGCAAGCTTCTTGAACGGCTCATCCTGGCTCGGCTCGACCCAATCATCGACCCCAACTGCCTGATAAACGAGCTGGCTTCCGACATGGACGCTCCACGGTACATGAAATAGTTAAGCTGACCAACGGCATCTAGGACAGCCTTGAAACACGCAACAAGGCAGATGCACAACAGCTTGGTCTTCAACGCCTGCCCTCTTGTCAGCCCCTTCTCCGGTAATGCCGCAGCCCTCTGCAACTCCAGCTTCATTTTGTGTAGTTCGTTGGAGGCTGACCGGGAGCAGACTGTCCGTCCTGATCAATTTACTGTGACCCCCGACACAACAGACCCACCCGGCTCAGAACTTCCTCGAAAGGAATGGGTCACCCTGAACCGCTTGCGAACAAGAGTCGGCCGGTTCAACACCGGTTCACCGTTTCGTTGGGACCTACGCCCTTCAGCAGTCTGCGTTTGTGGAGCACCACAGCAGACAGCACAGCACATCATCAACGAATGCGCTTCACTTGGCCCCCAGCTGACACGGTGGACCTCGCCATTGTCAGCAAACAAACAATAACATGGCTCAGACACCTAGACGGAGTAGCATGACTTTCTGCTGCCTCGAACGAAAAAGAGCTAGGGAGATCAGGATAGTTATTGAAATAATGGGAATCGATCAGCTAGACGGCTAGAGTATGTAGACACCCCACATGACCATGTATATTAGGCACTAAACAAACGAGCACGTAACAAGACTTAACCATGCTTGAAACCCAGACATCTTATTGATAGCTAGATTTTGCAAATACTTACAACGGAAGATGACTTCGACCAGGCTGGAATAAACCACCGGAGGTACACCGTTGTCTCCGCGACACCTGTACGTCCCAGCCTGCTCCCTGCTGATGCTGCTTAGCGTCAGCGTGCTTGATCCGTCGCTGTAGACAGAGGGTAGGGAGCCAGGAGACCCGACCTTCTCCCACGTGATGAAGTCAACCGGCTTGGGATTGGCGTCCGCCTTACAGGACAGAATGACGTCATCTCCCTCCTCAACATGATTAGATGGAGTTACAGATGGCTCGGAAAATTCCGGCCAGTCTAAAACAAAAGAAAACAACACAAATGCCACTTATACCCAGTCAGTTTCCTCCGAGGATTTGTCATGATTTGAGGATTTGTCAACATTGACAAGTGTTGTTCCCCATGTGCCATTATGTATCATGGCAGTACTATCCATACTGTACGCCGTCGAGCAGGTGTAACCATTTACTCATTTGAGGCCTCTACCACTTTGGAGAAAACTTTGAGGGATAACTATTGCGTTGCTTCTGAAGAACATTATGGTCATGCAGTACCCATTTGCTATTCCTTGTCAGGAAGCCAATGGTGCAAGTCAAGACTCGGGGTTAACATTTTACGTGACGGTGAATAACTGAACTTTTTTTGGGGGGGGGGTTGTTCATGTGATACCTATTTGGCCTTGAAGGTTCTGATCTGTTAGAGTTTGTACACAATTGATTTCAATCAATTAGTCTTACATTGGACGTCGATCGGACCCAGCGATCCTGTCAGTTCTGAAGTCCAGGATCCTCTTCTGGCAGAGCATGTGATCATGTTCCCATTCTCTTCTCTGGTTGGCGTGAAGTTTAACGCGCTGCTGAACCTATGGCGGTTGCCCAATGTTAACATCGCAGTGGTTTGAGTGCCGGCAAGAGGTAGGCCGCCATTAGTCCAAACCAGCTCCCAGTCGTCAGGGTATCCATGGTTGGCTCGGCATATTAGTTGGACGGTCTCATTTGCAGTCATTGATCGGTTGCCTGTTACAGCTGGAGTGTCCGGAGGACCTGCAAATCATGACAAAGGGATACAAAACACACTACCAGAGGAACAATTATTCAAAAAGAAGTACAGTCCTTACCTCGACGTGTCAATTTGTATGTTGTAGTCTTTCCCTTTTTGCATCCCAAATCAATCAAGGGATGGGCACTCTATACCAAATAGTTTCCTAACCAAAAAAAATCAGTGGCACACTACACATTCCAAGACCGCCTAAGTCCATGTAGGAAACAGGCGTACTGCCTTACTGATCAATAGTCCTCGGGCAAGCCATATTACTATGAAATGAAAATGTCTTCGAGAAAGAAGTATAGTTCTGATGAAAAGAACACAACCAACCTCCTACCTGTAACATCCACTGTGACCATTGCAAAAGGTAAAGGGAGCTGCGACTCCGCCGTACCAGCCACACACTTCACCTTCTGTCCGTGATTGGTTCTGTTTGGGACGAACGTCCAGCTGCTCGTGGTGTCCACTAAACCACCACTTTCTCCAGAAGGAGGGTCAACGGTTCTTTGCAGAGCGTCATTCATGAACCATTGTAAGGTAGCGGCTGGCCTTGTCTGACGCACCGTGCACAACAAAGAGTGGTGCGCCCCCTCCATGACGCTTGCTCTTCCACTAGTCACGTTCCCACCGGAGTCATAGAGGGTTAAACTGGATTCCTTTGGAGGACCTGAAAAAGGAGATTTAAAAAGAAAATAAAAACACCGGGAAGTCCATCCCCAAACATATTCTTTGTTCTGAAAACAAAACAAGGAAGCCTTTAATTTAAGCTGGTGCAAGAGCACAGAAATGTCTACACCACTGAATCACGATGGCTATTCATTATGGCCGGCAGGGATGTTGCCAAGCCCATCTTAAGATCCTGCAAGTCCATCGCAAGGCCATCTAAAAGTCCTCCAGCCCCGGACGCAACTCACAAGCTATTTAAATGAGCAGTGACAGAGGCATGCATTTGGTATTGTCCATCCACTATTTCTTGTGACGAGACTTATGAATGACTTGTGGTTTACTTGTAACTGGACATGTAATGTATTTGTGATGGACTCGACTACATCCCTAGAAGCCAGCCTCAGCCCAGAGGTAATCCTATAAGAATAATTCTACCAGGCACATTCAAAACGGTCAGTGTGTGGGTAGGAAAGTTAGATGGTCAGATAGGTACGGAGGACCTCTGGAGCAGCAAATGAAAAGCAAGGAAGATTCTCACATAGGACGTCAACGGGACCCAGCGATCCTGTCAATGCTTGAGATCCTCTTCTGGCAGAGCATGTGATCATGTTCCCATTATCTTCTATGGTCGGCGTAAAGATTAATGTGCTGCTGAACCTGTAACGGCTGCCCGATGTTGACACGGCGGTGGTGTGAGTGCCGGTAAGAGGTAGACCCCCATTGGACCAAACCAGCTCCCAGTCGTCAGGATATCCATTGCTGGCTTGGCATGTTAGTTGAACAGCCTCATTTGCAGTCACCGATGGATTGCCTGTTATAACGGGAGTGTCCGGAGGACCTGCAAATTATGACAAAGTGATACCGATCACCAGATCGAGGCACAATCATCCGAGAAGAATTACAGTCCTTTCCTCGACATTTCGGTTTGTATGCTATAGTCTTTCCGTTTGTTCATCCCAGATCAGTACAAATGGATAAACACAGTATACCAAACCATTTTCCGACCCTCGGGAAAATCACCAGGGACATGCTTTACTTGTCAATTGCATAATAGCGTACCAAGACCACATTAGTCCACACAGGTAAACAGGTGTACTACCTTACACTTACAAAGTCCATTTTACTCTGAGCTTCCCTCAGCGATCGTGACAAAATGCCGACCAATTGGCAGAATGCCTATTCTGACCTACTTCAATTAACTGGAACATACAGAACCCCTACCTGCAACATCCACTGTGACCATTGCAAACACTAAAAGGAGCTGCGATTCCACTGTACTAGCCACACACTTCACCCTCTGCCCGTGATTGGCTCTGCTCGGGACGAACGTCCAGCTGCTCGTGGTGTCCACTAAACAAACGCTTCCTCCAGAAGAAGGGTCAACAGTTCTTTGCAAATCGTCATTCAGGAACCATTGTATGGTAGCGGCTGGCCTTGTCTGATGCACCGTGCACAAGAAAAAGTGGGTCGCCCCTTCCATCACACTTGTCCTCCCACCTTTGACGCTCCCACTGGTATCATTCAGAGATAAACTGGGTTCCATCGATGGAACTGAAATGGGGAAAGGGAATAGTTTATCGATTATATTTGATTGATTTATATTTATTGATTATAGTTGATGATTTACCCTACTAGTGTGTCACACTACTTTTCCCCCTTTTTAGAGATTTTTTGAGATTGCATCTTATTTTGCATATTTATCCTGGGGTTGTGGTTACTTACTTTTTTACTTGTCCATCTAATTATGCCGTTGTTAATACTCTAGTTGCAATTGAACTGTTTTTCTGCAGATTTTTTCCAAGTTAATTTAGTTTGCTCTACTTCCTTATCAATGTAATATTTTTTTGCGGGTGCTACTGTATTTAGTTTTTGTTATTTGTTCAGTATTCTGGGGGGTTACTTGTCTTTTGCGTAATTTCCTTTCTTGGTTCTTGGTCGGTTCCTCTCCTAAATACTCCAAATGGGAGTTTATACAGGAGGCCATAAACACCGGAGCAAAGCCCTTCTCTTAGCGATAAGTGTTTACTGGGTTCTTTTACGTGCATTTATGCAACGCACAGGACCTACGGCTTAACGTCCCATCCGAAGGACGAAGCTTAAGAGCACAAGTGTCCACCGGCGGGCTCGAACCCACGTCACTGTTGCCTCTGAAACACCAGAACGTGAGTCCTGTGTTCTTAACCGCCGGGCCATCTTTCTCCTGGGTTTGTTTATACTTGCCCCTTCTTGTTGCCTTTGTTTGTTGGTTAGTAATTTGTTTGTTTGTTTATAATTTGTTTGTTTTTCATGAAAACATTCTGGGTGCAAGATTTTCATATTGGATTTTTGGATTTGTATTGAATTATAGTACTTAGTTTTACTCTATAATAATATTCCTTTCTTGTGGTCTGACACTGTGACATCTTTGAGGACAGATTTTACAAACTTTTGTCTGGACCAGGACAATCTTTTGCATTTTAATAGATTTTTAATTATTTTCTGAAGATATAAAGTTAAATGCAACTGCAAAGGGTTTCCGTCGGACGAAAAAGTCTGAGTGGTCACAACTGATCTCCATTGGAAAGACTTTCTAATGGAGATCACCGGGTCAACTCATAAGAGCTGGAGAAGTATATATAATGAGTGCGCACATGGTTTGCGTACGTGCACTTGACTTTAATCCCAAATCCTTGTTCAAAACCCTTAGCGTTTGCGCATGAGAATTTGCAGCTGACCGACGTTGGCGCGCTACGATGTACTCTTATTGTCCTAAAAGGCCTTCTTTCATAGTCGTGCATTGGGTGCCGCTGAAAAGCAACGTATGCAAAGATGCCAAACGGCGAACTTGTTATATAATGCAGGTCCAATCTACTAAACCTTGTTCATGCAATATTATTTATGGTTACTAGGTATATTTAAGCCCTTCGAGAGGGCTTTAAGAGCAGGCTGGCTTTTTCTGACGGATTTCTTTTCAAATGAAAAATCCTAATCTTATCTCTCCCGAAAGAGCCTCATAGGCAAAACCATAGTTTAAAAACCAATCACTGTAAGTTATTGCCGCATGATAAACATGCAAAAGCGCGTGTCAGTGGATATGTGTTACCTTTAACGTGAACGCCCAGCACTGCGCACTAAGTCGCCGTGCTTGATGCTGGTCGCGGGTAATGTAAGAGTACTACTGGTCGTTATAACTCCCTGCTATTCCTGTGTGCTAGTGCTGTCAAATATTGTTCCTTAATAATTTAACTTACAGATTAACAATTTCCCTTGATGCAAGACTTTACTTGACAACGGAAAGAGTGTGAAGTATCCCACCGGAAAACGGAAATGTTCCGTTTGAGTCCCAGAACAACATTGTACGAGGATATACTAAATGGGAAAAATTGAACTAGGTCTAATTAAATAGAAACATATTTTGTTAAACTTCATGACAGTTTTTAAATGCACATAGAACCATTAATGTATACCTGCAGTTTCGGCTTAGCGGACACTGCATTTAAAGAACAAAGAGAAAACCTATGCAAAATATTTCCCTCGAAAGTGCATATTGCATATTGGTGTTTTTCTATTTTGAATCGCACCCTCTTATTGACATCCAAACGGCATTCGGAATACAATTTTCATACAGCTGGATAGTGTAAATGACGTCTAGGTCCAAGTGGATGCGCTACAAAATATAGTCCAATAAAAAAGGGTTTACTTAAAAACAAAAACAAAACATTTGATTTTATTATTGTCGTCCGAACAGTTCAAGCTGAGTAACATCACAGGGTATTTTGTGCTAGTCATTTTACTAAGTAGGTTTCTTCTGGGTAATTACCAAATGTGCCTGTAATGATTTCGCACACTGGCCCTGAACTTGACCGAAGCAACAGAGTAAATGCTCGAGCATCTACCCCAGGCACCTTTTAAAAGAGGTGAAGGAATTGTATTTACTACGAAGAAATATTGTTTGATTTTACCTGTTAAGCTCAAATCATCAATGGCAATGTCCGATGTGAAACTATTTCCACGCACTGCCTGCAATGCTATTCGAAAGCCCAAGGTCGTGTTTTGTAGACATATCTCCTCGAAAAGCCAGGTCGTTGGTCCCGTCTGCTGCCCACTCCGTGTGAATATAATCTCACCATCGTTGATGCCTTGGTTAACTGGAATCCGATACACATTAAGTGCACCTAACGGGTGTTAGAAAATGTAGGTTAAACTCGCGGTAACAAAGAATATGTTAAGACCCCGGTTTAGAAACTCGGTGTCACAGTAGGTGTTTCTGGCTTTTTTGCTTAAAAGCGAAAATCCTTTATTTTTGTTAAGATGCTTATTGGCTTGTTCCGCTTAGTTGCGGAAAAGCATTTGTTTTTCTTGTGATTGTATTTGTTTCCCTTTGTTTGTTTTTTTCTCTCAGCCAAGTCCCGTAGGTTTTGTGCACGTTTTTGGTACAAGACACTTTTGATCTAAAACAAAGTCATATTCTGATAAAACTTAACTCGGACAAAGACTCCATTGTGAACTTGAGTCACGGAAACTGGCGTCATGACGTCATGATGACGTCATAATGAGTCACGTGGCGTCACGTTAAAGGTGCGTATTTTATAGTCTTATATAGAGAGTCCGATGGGGTTAAAATCTTGGATGCAGGTAGACCGAGAGTCCCTCCGGTTCTTTTCAAAACCACACATACTCACAAAGGAGATCTATTCACATGGTGCTACCGCAAACCTATCTTTTCTTAGACCAGGATGTGTTGAAGGTAAAAACAAAAATGAGGTTACGTCATGATGACACCATCACTTGATATTCTTATGAATTATTGAATGTTTGAACCTTAAAGCCACATCTCATCAACAAAGCATACTAAAACTCAAAATTCTTTTTGTATTAGGTTTGTTAGGTCATTCATAACTACACCAAGTTAATAACTATACGAAGTTAAATGGAGTACTGTGGCCTCGTGGTTAAGGGCATTGGATTCGTGGTCTGCTGGTAAAGCTGTGGGTTGTGCGGTCAAGTCCTCACTGAGCTTATGGTGCGTGTGCCCTTGGGCAAGGTACTTTGTCGCACAATTGCTTCTCTCCACCCAGGAGTAAATGGGTACCTGCGAAGGTACGGGCCATATCCGCTGATATTGAGCTGCTGCTAAAGTGGTCTCGTGGCCTGATGAATAGGGGTAATAATTGTGAAGCGCTTTGACCTGCTTTATAAGCACCACATTATCATTATTCATTTATTCACAAAAATGACAAATGTGTGACGTCATGGTGAATAGATTGATACTTATGTATTAATATTATGCATAACTAAAGTGACGTCATGATGACGTCATCACCTAATTTATTTTTTAAGTAAAAAAATTTACATTTTCTTCTAGCAGAATATGACAAAATGCAATTAGATTCTTTGCAAACCAGACACGGACAAAGATCGCAAGATTAAGTTGGTCCTAGACAATTGACGATGACGTCATCAAGGCTCATGTGATGTATACATTCTATAGACGTATACACTATAGATAAAACATCTTATAGATTTATATTTTTATTTTATATCTAAAGAACTGTAAGTATTTGTTGGGTTGGAAGTTGATGGGAACATATAGACAGGGACGTGTTTCAAACACAATTGGGGTGGCGTCTTTATAACGTCATTATGGGCCATGAGACGTCATCGTTAAAGTGCATGTTTAAAAGTCCTATATCTGAAGAGCTTAGTCGTGGAACTGTGTTCTTGCTTATAATTTACCTGACTGTATATGGACAAAACATAACATAAACTCATAAAAAAATACTGCGGAAAAGCCCTATGCTCTGCTCATCAAACGTACATAATTCTACTTAATTCTTTGATTTGTTTTACTGAAAATATTGTTCGTTTGGTATTTATTTTTTCTCTGAGAAAGTACGGGAACACTTAATTCAATTCAAGCTTTACTTAAACAAATGGACTAAAAAAGTATAGGCAAGTCAAAGAAAGGGTCCCTTTGTGAACCGCACGTTTAATTAGATACTTGTTTGTTAGAAATGTCTTTGCATATATGGCCAACAATAAAAAAAAGAAAGAAAAAAAAAACAATCCACGATATCCTGAATGCTTTCAAGTGGATATTCGAAAATTTGCTTATAAGAGGGTTTATCTTTCAAAGCTTTAATTTCCATATACATGTATCAGTCTGCGAATTATTGGACTTGCCCATAGACAACACACAATTGTAAACCGATTTGTTTTTGAGTGGCTAAACTATGCAATGTAAAACGACATCGCGAAACACAACATACCCATTCCATCTCCGTACATGTTGTACCAAAACCCAAAGCACAAAGTCGGCATGCATGATGAATGTACAGCGTTGATTGAAACAACTGGACTGAGGAGCACTGCCGTATTACCCTCACTTCCTACTGAAGCCTCGAAGTAGTAGTAATATCCACTTGTGTCTGTCGGTCAAACATCAACGACATGTAATTAGTATCCAGCTAGTGGTTTCTCAGTTACACAGTGTGATAACCATTACATTTTTGTGTGACATTTAACAAAACCAAAATAATAATAATAATAATAACGAACTCACCTCCTCTCGTTTTATCGATCGAAGGGCCAGTATTGGACGACGGAGTTCCTCCTGAATCACGTGCCCAACTCGAATCGTCATCGGTTGATTGCGTCCACCCGCACCTACCATTTTCAAACGTGCAGTTAAAATCCAAACTCGCTGCAAGAAATTACATGATAAACATGTGATCCGATGATAAATATAAAAACGATGAATTATAAAGACCACAATAGTGATCAGACGTGCCTAGACTTTTTAAAATAGTTTTTACATTTCAGTTTGTACATTTGATTTAACAGCCGACTGAGTTTCAGAAAAGCAATACAAATAAGAGAAAAGACTGCGATATAAAGTGCATGAGCGTCACCAGGAATTTCTCGGGGGAGGGAGGGAGAGGGCGCAAACCATTGTTACACATCTCCCCTTCAACTCATCCACCACGCCCATGTTGTTATTATGGACCATTATGGTGTTCGTACGGAATACGTATGCGGCTCGGGGAAACCAGGCTCTCAAATCACCATTTTGCATGGTAATTTCATCTGGCACATCATGGGCAATGTGCATTTTACATTAAAGTGTATAAATGTATATACGTGGGTTTCGTGGAATAAAAACACAAAATGGTGATAATAAAGCTATTTTTTACCGAGCCGCAAACGTACTGGACGTGTACCATTTCTAATGTCCTCTATTACTTCACTCCTATTGCCTTCTGTTGTTCATGTTTTATTCTTTTTCCCGGTGGAGGGGTGTTTGCTTCCCTTCCCCCTCCCCTCACTAGCTCCCGCTCCCCACCGACAGCCACATACAAGTGTCGTTACCTTTGATCTCATCAATAATGGAACTATGAACAATACAGTCGAAAATTAACGGTAGGTTGCCCATTAAGTAGTGTGATGTACATGTTTTCAATTACCGAAAGATGACACGCTGGTAGCCAGTAGGCGGAAACCTCCATATGTAACACTTCCATCAGTTGTGAATCTCAGCCACATTGCAGGTCCATGGGAGAGTGCATCCGGACCAATACTCCCCCTGGACTCGAATAGCACGGTTGTAAGGTCCGTGCTATCCATGCCGTCACCACCCTTTAGTCTGTCGCAACAGCTCTCCGTGCGGAAACTTGAGGTGATGATCTGAATCTGCCAACACGCTATGGTCTGAATCACCCACGTGACGTCCAAGCCATTAGCATAGTTGCCAGGATACGACGGGGATGTTATTTGTGCCGTCTCGTACGGGCTTAAGTGAATAGTGCTCGATGTTGCCTCCGTATCTGAAATTGTGGGATATGACGCTTTTCATTTATGCCTTTCATTTATCAATGCATTTTGAAAACAATGTTCTACATAATAGGAAGACCAGTGGCGACACTCCGGGGGGGGGGGGGGGGGGGGGGCCGCACGGGGGGGGGGGGGCATCCCCCAAACTTAGCGAATGTCCGATGCCCTCGGGTACAACCGTTTAAAATCTTGAATTGAACAAAAATGCGTTTTGTAACGTTTTCTTTTCGATGTAATAATGTTTGAAATACTCAGTTTCCGGCTTGTCCGTTTCAAACTAATATCAATTGATGTTAGTTTGAAACTGACAAGCCATCAATTTATGTTAGAAACTGAGAATTTTAAACATTATTCCATCGAAAAGAAAACGTTACAAAACGCATTTTTGTTCAATTTACAAAACGCAAATTTACCCCTTGCAGCCTCCCTTCCACTGATATATCTTCTTGAAGACTTGGAAAGTTGCTTTATTAGAATGCGTTGTTCATATGTTTTTTTTTTTAAAGTTATTAAATGTATTTTTTGGGAATCTTGGTCGAAACTAAAGCAGGCGCTGTTCTCTCAGATGTTGCAACATCTTGACTAGCTTATATCTTCTATCAGATGCTTGCCACGTCGTGATTGTCGGGTCGGCTAGAATTGGATATATGCTTTTGATTAAAACCGGAAAAAAAAACATGGTCTTTAACTCTAAATATATTTTGAATTACCTCCAGAAGCATTTTATCGACATGCATCTTTCCATTCCCTTCACCGTGTTTAAGAAATTTTAGAAGTTCATTGGATATTTTTCGGGAGAAGTGTTCTGTTTGGAGTAAATTATGACGTGTTGACTCGTGGTTGGAGTTTGTCTCCAAGCAAAATCACTGTTGGCTTAATATCGACGACAGGGTAGTTTTCAAAGCAGTAATGAAAAAGATTTCAGTGAAAATTGCAAAGTGGTAATAAAATAGAAAAAAAGTGTTGCATATAAAGTATAAGTAAACTTGTTTGACTCGTGACTCGAGTCCGACTCGAGTCTTATTTTCCATGACTCGGATTCGAGTCCAACCCAAGTCCTATTTTCCATGAGTCCTCGGACTCAGGAGAAGTATACTCGGACTCGATTTTGGTGACTAGAATACAAGTCTGATATATAGGCAGCGATAGCCAGTCATTACAAGGGTGAAATGTCAATTTCATCACAAGTAACAAGACAAACAGCAGAGGAATGTCTGTTTCACATTTGAACAGTTCAAACTGTCAGCTTAATAATTATAGATGCTAACATGAGATTCAACCAAAATGTGATTAAATTGATTGTTATTTTCTATCGAGTGACCCGTGCATTACATGGAAGAATGTAAGGCCCACACAAAGTAAAAACGGGGCACGGGTTGGTTTTTTTTTAAGTGAGTGACCGCCTTCTGAAAATGATGCCCGTTTTAGTGCCCCTCTACTGAAATTTTAGAAACCAGATTAGGCTGCCGACAGAGATCGACAGATTGTTCAAATCCAGCTACGCTTTTCCCTCAGAATTCCGCGATTCAAAGGGCATTACCTAAAAAAGTCCAATTATATTAAAAACGCAACATCAAATTTACCGTGTTTAATTTGATAGGTTTTGTGATTTTCACTTTTTAAACTTATAGCAAGTGTATAGGAAATTAATTACAGGTTTTTGTAGATAGAAAGTATCGTAGAAAACAAACTCACTCTTTTAAGCTCAGGAAACTTTTGTGGATAGTAATCGGCAATGATAACCCAAAACACAACAAAAAATGGTCCTACCTCGTAAAGAAAAAGCCAGCCATACCACAGTGATCATGAAGTTAAGAGATGCCATCGTCCAATGTTTTTTTTTTATTGCAGTGGCCCAGAGACGTTAAGACTAAAAACTTGGGGAACCGCCGACAAAGGGCTAGATAGCTCAGCTGTTGGAGTACTGGAAGAGCAATCGGGTGGCAGGTTCAATCCCCTCTCCATCTGCCAATGCTTTTTCAAATTGAAAAAAAAAATAGTATAATGAACCAGTTCGGTTTCCCTTTAAGGTTTATTTTGATAAAACATATAGACAATTTTAACAAATTAAAAGTGTGAAAACAGGAAATAAATCAAATCCACAGTTAGTTGAAAATATCATTGACTTTGGAAATAATAAAAATGTACGGAAGATCGTACATGAATGTTGAAAGGCTTTTTAATGTATTTAAAACATGTTAAAAATCGAGGTTGGTTGTTCATATCACACTTTACATTAGAATCCAAAAATGGATATTAAAATATACTAGCTTGATGTACAGAAGGAAGTTCACCCGACTCTCCTCGACACAACTTCTTCCTCCTCCACACAACTTTCCTACACACGAAACATTTTGAATACTATATAATACTGTATAACCGGGCGGTATTTCTAACTTAATCATGCACTTTCATCCTTACTGATCGATCAGACGTGAACCTGCAAGTTTATCCATTTTATTTTTTAACAGGAGCAACATCTACATAAAAAAGTACAATTATTGATATATAAAAAGTAATAGCTGTGAAAATAGACGTCATGTACTGTACATGTAAAGGGGACATTTAAACCTCATGTTGGAAGTGCACGACATCATATTATGATAAACCTATATGTTGTAACAGTGTTGCATCTACGACGGGATTTTTTTTCCCCGGCTGCACAAATAACAAAATCCATGCAGAAAAAAAAAAAAAATGCCTCAATATCCCCCTCCGGTCCGCTGCGGCATCTAACTCCTTTCTTTAATCCAAACAATTATATGAAAACCTGTTTTTTTCCTCATCTGCACAATTTAAATGGTTTATCATTGAAATTACATTCACACCATTGATCGACACACTGCTCGGTGTTTAGTGCAAGAAATGTGAGCCTACTTTTCTGTCAAAGAAATACATATTGTCAAACTTTTGTCTCCTTCACACACCCGCACTAATAATGCATTCACTTCCAGATAAACCAATTGTAATGATCTGTATTGCAACTGCAACTTACCGACTGAAAGATGTTGTCCTCACTCAACGAAGAGCTCATACAAGTTCCACACATACACAACAAAATGGCGGAAATGTTAATATTTCGAAACACACAGTGTGGAAAAACCACTGCGTCACGGCCAATGACAAAAGAGCATGGAAGTAAGTAATTCAAGTGTGACGATTTTATTTCGCTCGTACCCTCCGTCACACAGGGCACGCGCTGGGAAGTGCCTACATATTTGATAGAAATTGTTTGAAAAAAAAACATGGGTCAAATGTTCCGCCTGCGCATGACACAGAATGTACGTGCATTGGTTGAGGCAGTAGCTCCCACAATGCTTTGCGCGCATGTGCTTTCCTCAAAACATTTTGTGAAAGAGTTTATCCCTTCCCAGCGCCCTGTTTTGGCGGTATGACGAGCTTTTAGAATCCTCGCGCAGCCCGCTTATATACCGGTAGGCATTGTACACGGGGTTGCTCAGATAGCAAAGTGTTTTCTAACCGTAGCCACCCAAAGATGCAAAACACTCAAACCAATATATTTTAGGGTGTTCTTTATTAAATTGGAGATTGGTTGAGACAAATTTCATTTGCGAAATTCACATGTTGCATTAATTGTCATTCATTACTCCCTCTTCCTTCTCCACCACCAAACTTCATACTCCTCCTCAACAGAGCTCTCTTCTCAAATGACAAATTCGTCATCCTTCTTCTTTCCCTCCTCTCCTCCACAACAAACCTCCATCCTCCTAAACATAACTCCCTTTTCCTCCACACAAAATAAGGCAAGATTAACGACACAACCACTGCTTACTTTACGACCCTTTTGTCATAATTTTGTTAAAAATGGCACTTTTTTTCATTAAAAAAAATGATTTTCCTCTGTAACACTAAGGGTGCTCTGACATATCTATTCAGGAAACAGTCTTTGCAGTGGCTTTCTGTTCGAATAATTCGTGAGGAAAAGTTTGCTTCTAGGTTTTTTTACCAATATGTTGTCCGAGACTATTTGCTGCAATCTACAATGCTTCCGGGCTTAATTAACTTTCTAGAAAATAGAGAAAATCTCTTAAGAAGACTGCATTAGGGGTCACGCTTTTTCCAACCTAATTATGCACAGTAATCCTTCCAGATCAATCAGAAGTAAACCCGCTAGTTTATCCTTTTATTGGTTTAATAGGAACAACCTCCACATTATAAAGTATAATGTTTATAGGAGAAATGATGGCTGTCAAAATGGAGTTCATGTCCAGGGAACGTAAACCCTTATGTTTGAGGTTCATGTCATGCTACGGTATCTTGTAAACTTGTACGGTATCGTATATATGTTATAACATAGTAGTACAAACAGGAAAATCCGTGCACAGAATAAAAGCAAATGCCAGCAAATACCCCCCGCCCCGGCTCCGGCATCTACCTCGACCATTTTATCCAAATCCGAATTCACCCCATATATAATATAATGTGAAAACGTGTTTTTCGTTATCTATACAATTTAACTATTTATTTATTTTAACTTAACGCCATTGATCAACACAAGCTCAGTTTGTGAGTGAAGGAGATTAGGTTATACCTTACGAACTTTTCTATGAAATATTTTGTTAGCATTGAGTATTGCTAAATTTTTGACAAGGTAAGGCCAAAAAAAAAATTATATTCGGTCTCTGGTCAGACCAAGGTCACGAAATTGACGCGGCCACGCGGCTTTTTTTTTTTTTTTGCTTTTTTTTTTTTTTCTTCAAGTTTGGATTGTACAGACAAGGTGGGGTACTATTTTGCTTTTTTGGTGTCCTCATGTACATTGGTGTCCTCCATAATTTGCCTTGATGCTTTTGATCATTTGCCTTGGTGCAATTTCCCATTCCTTGGTGTTCTTTGGTAAAAAAAATTGAGGAGGTGCGGAAATAGAGGGCGCTGTTGGAGCTACCGCGGAACATTTTGGAAAAAAAAAGATCGACGCGCATGCTTAAAATCGACGCGCGCGCTGACCAGAGACCGACTTATTTTTTTTTTG